ATATTGATTGTTATTAATGGTTATTAATTAATGGATATTTTCACGGATTTATTTAAGTATTGATTCGCAAAAAGACTGTCTGAGAAGGTACCAAAACACCACCTAGTCATCATAGCCCAGTCATACTTCCTAAGGTAGGGCTGGATCCATGGGGATCCTATTTGAATAAATGGATTAGTCAACAACATGCAGAAAAGAATGATTTTTTTGCATCAACAATCCAGGTCTCCTATTTCCAGAGAATCCCAAATCAAGTATATATATATATTATATATTATATTATAATATATTATATATATATATGTCCAGATGATGTTGCGCCATCTTTAGGCAATATTTCATGATGTACTTGAAGGGCACCAAACGGTTTTTGAATCTTGGGCAGGTTCCTTAGAGGGAATTATGCCTTTTACCCTCTGGTTATTTAACAAAGCTATGATACAAATGGCCCACTTCTAGTTGATTTTCCCATTAATTAATACACATCCATTTATAGGCTATAGGTGGCTATAGAGGATTTTCCGTTACCGGAGCACCTGCTGACCCTGCTCAAAGAAACTGCTGGCATGTTTGCATAGGCATAGCTTGGGATAATGAGCCGAATCTATGTCTGGGAGCAGCATCTTAAACAAATGATGTCATATCCAATACTATCCATTCCTGCATGGTGTTCTCGATTTTTTTGGTATTTGGATGCGCATCCCAGGAAGTATAAGTGGATCATAACTATAACTTATAATAACCATCTTGTAACGAAGTTGAGCTATGCATTAGCCCTTTAAAACCTGGGTCCCGCTTCCCAAATGCTCCATGTTTGGTATAGCTATAGCTACAAACTGGGTGAGTCTTGGGGTGACTATGGGATTGGTGGCTTTTCATGCCACAAAATTGGGGTAACAATAAAAAATCATGGGAATTGGTGGCTTTATTGGGGTAACTATGGTAAAAAATAATGCCCATATTTTCATCCTTTTTCGTCATTCAGAGACCGATTTTGCTTCAACCTTTCCGTCTTTGCACAGAAAACCTTCCGGACCGACTAATCTCCCAGCAGCGAAGTAACGCGCATTCCATGTGTGACAATCCCTACGAAATTGGTAGCTTTCCTGATGAATGGCGGTGCCTTGGTGTGCTGGACTCTTGAATGCTAAGAAAATGTGAGTCGCTATGAGTCCATTCAAATCCTAGATCCGAAGAAACATGACACCAACGGCACTGCGGACATCACAGAATTTATATACCTTGGCATACTGTAAATAAACGTATCGAACAATACACTCTGAAATAACATGAAATAACCAACTTTTGTTTGTTCGACATCTTGGATTACAGGATTATTTCATGTTATTTCAGAGTGTATTACATAGTTCAGATAACATAAAAAACACGTTGCGATTACATATTTCATCTGACGTGACACATATGGGAAGCGCTAGCTGTGGGTATTTTTTCGGAAGCTGCCAACGACAACTCATTCTGGCGAGTCAAGGCACACACTGAAGATGACTGAACCAACTGACATTCTACAAGCGGGTACCCATAATATATATATATATACGATTATATATGTGGATAGTATATGGATGTATATGGTATATTAGAATATTATCACATAGATAGGTAAGTACTGCATTCATATTTGCATTCCATTGTGGATGTCTGCTCTTACCGGGTCCATTGAAGCAGACATTATGGTCCATACATGGTGCATCAAGGGGCTATGGGTATGTCTGAAAATGGGCTATACCCCCTATGAAATAGCCATAAAAAATAGGGATAATGATCAGCAAAACCATTGGGTGTAGGGGTACACGACATTTTCAGACAAACCCATATTTTCCATGGCCTTCGAAAAACAACTGCAGGTGCTTTTGAAAGACAGAAAGAACTCGTGCCGCACGACCGACTCAAAGCTTCAAAAATGCAGCGAGTTTCAAGGATGGCGCTTTGCCAGGAGTCACGAGTTCGTCGGTACCATTTCAGGTGCGACATCTCGTTCTCCCAAAAGATGGGGCACCAGGGGATGAGCGTGAGCGCCCACGGCCACAAGCTACGCTTACGCTCGCTGCGTGAACGAGACGACATACCTGGTAAGCTGCCCGAAAAAACAGATCTACCCCCAACAAAAATCCCCAAACATCCAGGAGTCGATGATTTTGTTTGGGGATTCTGATCGATTTTCCATGGCCGTTTTTGTCCATCTCAACTGACCAGATTGGTACAATGTGAGGCCCCCGTTGGATAGCGTTCAGTTGGTGCAAACAACTCCAATTTCACTATGGTTTATGGTACGCAAATAACGAACTAGTTGCTGGGGCGAATCTAAACCAACAAACATCACTGGGGGGCCTCACATTGTAGTTGATGGTACTTGTGGCATTCACCATCCAACCTATCACAGAAATTGGATGAAATTGCTATACTTTGCCTGAAAAAAACATCAAACATGGGTGGTTCAATCTGCTTTATGGCGGTTGAAAAGGGTTTAAGCACATGAAATAAACAACAGATAACAACAGAAGTGGATTGGTGTTTTCCCCCCTTGTACCCAGGTTTCACGTCAACTTGCGTTGGCTCATGGAGAAAATTGAAGCCTCTGATGGAGAATATCTACTTACCCTAGGGTAAACTAACATAAATGTGGAAAAACGACGCCATTTCTAGATAATTATCCTAGGGAAAACATGGGTTTTTCACATCTACGTTAGTTTACCCTAGCGTAACATCCTAATCCTGGTCATGAAATTCAATGAAATTCATGGTTTAGGGTTATATAGTTATATATGAAATATGGAACCCTGGCTGCCACAAACAACTACCATTTGGGAATTTTGTAACGACCAAAGCACCCATAAATATGATGATGACTTGGGGATGGTGTATTCTTGGGCCTATCACTTTAATTAAGCATTACAATGCCCACAAATTCCTAAGTTGGTGCTCTAAGGGGATGTCTTTTGGGATTGTCTCTCAATGACAGGATGGAAATCGGCATAGACCGGACATTCTTGGTAGCAATTCGCTCCCTCTTTGGCGGGTCAAAGTATGTGATTCTTTACCAAGATGGAAGGTCTCGGTGGTCAATAAATGTCAATAAGCTCAGTAGACCCATACGACAGTAACATGGCCAATCCTATACTGCACTGCACAAAGTTGTTTTCTGGCTTGTCTACTTAGTCTACTTCTGCATGATGATCTGATGCTTTGCTATCTAATTTACTGGTGCCAAAAAGCAGGACTTGCACAGCTCACCCACTGTTCCCATCCATTTTGAAACACCACCGAGCATAGGGGCGTTGTGCGGTTTCAAACAAGCCGACTTTTTCCCACTGCTCGCAGTCGGAAAAAAATGCACCGCGGCAGTCGGACCTCGGAAGGTTCCTTTCAAAAGGAACGCGCTCGAATCGCGAGATTCTAACATTGAAGATCGAAGATCTCTTTGTGGCCAGATGTGGAGAGATACCTTTAGGTAAATCGATGGGAACATGGCCCAATACCATTGTTGCCCTCTGGTAATGACTAACAGTTTGCGACATAGAACATGGCCATAGAAAGTTCGTTGATTTACCTATGAACAATTGTGATTTTTCATAGTTGTTTGTATGTTTACCAGAGGGTAACACCATGATTTTCAAGGAATCCAGGACTTTCCGAACATTAATGATCATGCATGATCTCTCGTTTTCCCATTAAATAAGATTTATATATATATAACATCAAGCAAGGGGGTAAACCCAATAAACCATCCTCAATTGGGGTTCAAATTGTTGGGTTCAGCGCCTTACCAAACTACCACTCCAAGATTTCCCCAGATTCTTCCGGAGATTCTCCAAACGTATCTCTACATCTGGCCACAGACCTCCAAGGTGGCTGCACTTAGGTAGCCGCGCCACAGGAAGGGAAACTGGGAAACCCCTGAAGAAGCGACCGCGCAGCATCACTCCATGTTCTTTCAGCACTATCACCCCTGCTTTTGGGGATGTTTCATGATGTTGCAATAAGCTTTCTCTGGTAATTGATTGTTGAAGTCAATCTTAACTTTTGTTTATTACTTCCAACTATACTTGCTGTAAACAAATCATAGGGGTTTCCAAGTCAAGGGGTTTCCTGCAATAGACCTCCAAAACACCTACAATCTTCATGAATGTTGCAGGTCCGTGCTCAAAAGACCAGCACTTCACAGTCCCTGATGGAAGCTTCACCGGTTTCAGATGGTCCTAAAACATGTGGATTGGAGGTTGGCCTTTTTTTTTGGGCATGCCTGCGGCATGCCTTGAATGCCTTGCGGCTTGGGGAGTAGAAGTGGATTGATGAAGTCGATTTGATGCATGACGCGACAAGAATGGCCCCCAAGCGATGGGCAATAAGTTCTCTTTTCTTAACTGGGCTAGAACGTGTAGATATAATATGTATATAAAATATGTACTGTATATATAATATAATAAAAATAATAAAAATAATAAAAATAATATATAATATAATATAATATAATATAATATAAGAAAATAATATAATATAATGTACTATAATATAATATACTATACTATAATATAATATAATATAATATAATTAATATAACATAATATGATATAATAAAATATAATGTGTATATATATACATTATAAAACATAGTATTTAAATGAATTTATGGTGGAGATCACAGTTTGATGGGTAAAACGAAACGCATCTGATATCGTGATCCGATATCGTCGGTTCAGCTTCGACAGCTGTCTCCCGCCTGTGGCAATAAGGCGTTGGTATAGACTGCGTGGGATGGCGTGGGATTGGAGTCTTCCACTTATATAACCTGAAGACTTCTCCAAAACGATCGTTCTTAACCTGAATTAAAATGAACTAAATGGTTTTTCAAGGAAACTGACACGTGCACGTTCTTCTTTTCCTTCGAGACATCCTTTAAGCAAAAATGAAAACAACAAAGATCAGTCCGTGTTTTACTGTCACGTTCCTTCTACAAATAGACATGAATTTTTATCCATCTTCGAAATTCCAGGAAACTCCATCCCGCATCACGGCAACTCCACCCGACACGCTTCAATGAATATTATCGCTCATGGATTCCACAGGTCTCAGCCATTTTCACTGACCCTGCCGGCATCCTGGCGCCAAAAAAAAAACCGGTGAGGTCGGTAGAAGCAATGGAAAATCACCATTTTTCATAACTAAATCATCGCACATCATCTATAACTATGTTGCACGTGTGAAATGACTAGAGTCACAAGAGGGTATAACTGAGGTTATAATCCACGTGATTACTGATATTCCTGGGGGAACCACCAAGTACCACCATTTCTCATTGGAACTTTCATCATGCATGGCAAATATTGCAGGGAGTTTTCATCACTAGTGACTTAAGACTGACGGGAATCTCAAAAACTTCACTCGAAGATTTGTGTTCATGCTATTCCTGCACGAATGATCCAGTTGGTTTATATCAGTAGCCTAGGGATGGCTAGGCCTCGATTCATAGTGGATATATAAAATCTACAGATATCTACAGGTGGATGGGTGAAAATCAACCAATTTATGTGGCCCAGTAATCCACCATTACAGCATATCACACCCCAGAAAAATCCACCATTTTCCATGCTTAAACCTGCAACAATATGTGATCGATGACCATGGTATGCCTCCGGTGATATGATCGCCACGTATGATAAATATGTACATCTACCCTCTGGTTATGACTAACATAGCTATGGAAAATGGTCCATTTATAGAGGGTTTATGATGATTTACCCATATACCATCTGGTTATGACTAACATAGCCATGGAAAATCATGTAAATAAATGGAGGTTTTAGTGGGAAAATCATCCATAAATGGGCCATTTTCCATGGCTATGTTAGTCATAACCAGAGGGTATACATATTAAATATACACGGTGACATAAGTGTATGATATATGACTGAAACAAAAAGTTGAGATTCACGGTTCTATAAGTGGTATATGACTGAAACAAAAAACTAATGAGTTACCCTCTGGTGAACTAACATAGCAATGGAAAATGGCCATTCTTAATGGGAAAATCCACTATAAATAGCAATTTTCCATTGCTATGTTAGTTCACCAGAGGGTACAGTAATTTACTGGAGGCTATAACCCAGGTATCATGGCATGGCCACACTTGGCAGGATCCCGGGAATCGGAGGTTTTGGAGGAGCCTGGTGATAGCTAGCCTACAGCAGGTTTATAAACAGTACAAGGTGGTGCCCCAGTTATACATTGGCTTCTAAAGCCCAGGAAAATTGATATTAATTAGAGTTATATCTCCCATAAACCCGACTTCACCAAGTTAGCTAAGCGTCAACTTAGCGTGAACAGCTCACAGGGGCACCACCGTAAGTATAGATATTCATCTACCATAAACCATGGTGAAATTGGAGTTATAAACAAACAGAAAGCGTTCACGAACTGGGGCAACATCGTAAGTATAACCCCACTGAACCAGTTCCGATGCGTGGGACGGGGTACTGCTGGCCTTTTCATTTGGGGGGGTCCTTGTGAACTACACAGGAAAGTGATCGGATTTCAATCTGTAGTTTCCATTCATTTCAATCTCATTCATATCTGGTTGGTGGCTTCAACTCCTCTGAAAAATATGAGTTCGTCACTTGGGATGATGACATTCCCAATATATGGAAACAAACAATTCATGTTTCCAAACCACCAACCAGTCTATTATTAGGGCCATCAATATTCCAATCATACTCCATTAATCCATCAATTGCCCCGGAATATTCCATAAATCCATCTGAATAGTTCATTAACATCCCATGACTGTTGTTGTGCCCCATATATTAGCATAATTACCCTCCGGTAATCAAACGTCGCAGTGGAAAATGGCCTATTGATAGATTATGTTTATTGTTTTTGCATTAAAACATTCATTTATGGATGTCCTATTGCTATGTTTCATTACCTTCACCGAAGCATCATGAATCATTTCAAAATCCCCAAAGGTATCTCTCATCATACCATCAAGCAAATCATGGTCAACTCCATGAACTTGACCAATCATTTCTTGCCCAAATCTTTGACCCGTCCCCATCACCCCATCCCCTCATCCCCATCGGTCGGACCAGCATCAAATAGAACTGATCACCAACTGCGACGTCGGGAGTTGATGGGATGAAATTCGCTGATTTCTGACGCACATACCTTGGGTTGATTAGGGGGATATAACATGATATAACTATATATATAACTATCATCGCTGGGCACCACCTGGTAGAACTCGATGTTTTTTTGTGAACTCTACTGAATTTTGTTCTGGAACTGCACTTCCAGGTACATCGAAAAATATGTTCATCTGCCGAGACCCTCAGTAAACTAGAGCTAGTTGTTGATAATCATATGCAGCGATAAATATCATGAATAATGATGAATCCATCATGGGTCAACAATCTTCGTCGCCAGCACCGGCATTTCATTCCAGGAAGTGCCTAGGTAATAAGGTCGGCCTCCACGGGGAAACTGGTGGAGGTCAACCTGTGTGGTAATCATTTCCCAATAGAGTCGAGATGCTTGGAGAAAGCCTCTTAAGGATGTTTAAGGGAAAGAACCCACAGGCAAACTGGCCACAACTTTTTTAACCAGCAATGAGATCTGTAAGACCTATGTGTCCCACCTCCATCTGTGTCTATCGTATTTTATTTGTAGAACACTCTGAAGCAGCAAAAAACACCATACAGGCACTGCACGATTTATATGAACTTGGACATCCTGGAACATTCCTGCCTGTGATTTTGGATCGGTGCATATATGTCCCGTGGCATTTTAATCAACTGATACAAGGTGGTGCCCCCAAGTTATTGCTTATAAACCCCATTAACTATAGATAGAACCCCCTGATCAACCCATTAAAAATGTGGGATTTTCCATTTTCCATAGTTTTACTATAGTGATATCTATAAACCAAGTAAATCCCATAAATATAAACCTGATATTTCCCTAACCCGACTTCACCAAGTTACCTAAACGCGTCACTGGGGCGCCAAGGGATCATCCAAGTTCATCCAAAATCCCCGTGAAAACTTTCCCTATGGATCCAGCTGTAGCTTCTTGGGAAGTACGACTGGGCTATGATGACTCGGGGGTGTCAGCCGTACCTTCTCAGACAGTGCAATCGGATTTATAGGGATTCAATGTTGGGTATAACGGTATAACACCCATTAAAATCACCGTTAAAGTCCCATTAAATGGCGATTCAATGGTGAGTATAACATGTATAATGAGATGATCAAGTTACATTTAAAGTCCATTGCTACAAATCCTAAAATCCACATTCAAATCCCCATGACAACTCACCCATGACAACTCACCATTAAAGTCCCATGAAATTATATTAAATTACATTAAACTATACTTTATCCCATAAATGTATTTAAACTATGTTTTAATAGATTAAATGCTGGGTAAAACCTTTGTAACTTGACCATCCCATCAACCCATATTCCCCCCGCGCCTCATCCTTTGCCTCGCGGAAGGATGAGAAAAAAAAAACCGGTGAGGGCGATTTTCCTTGGGATACCATGTTCTAAATGGATTCATAGGAGGATATAATATATCCCATAGGATCCATGTATGGTATATATGCTAACATTGGGGGTATATTGATGGTAAATGTTACCATATATAGCATACATGGATCCTATGGGTATGATATATAACCATTCAATAGTTTCAGACATGGATCAAACATGATATCAACATTTAGTAGCGAAAGATACGAAACGATTATCATATATTATCACTATTTGGGATGTAATTGGTACATCCCAAGCTGATGATATCAAGTAGCTGCTCCGCAGCTTGGAGGGGTCTACTTAGAAACTGACGAAGAACTGGCTGAATCCAAACACTCACCACTTACAACCCAACAATTCACCCAGTTCTCATCCCCACAGATGGTGCCCAGTTATAAGTTGGTTTTTAAGCCCCATTAACAAATCATTAACATCCATGAACTATAGTTATATCTACATATATCATCATATATCTACCATTTAAACCATGGAATTCAGCTACTTTTGTAGGCAACGGTTCACGCAAACTCGACTCAGGCCCCATTTTTCACATCAGACTCTGCCCGTGCGCCTGCTGTCTCCATTCCTGGGGCACGTCTTGGGAAGCCATGCCATGATCCGAGGGAACCGAGCCAGAGGGCTCCGACGGATAGTCCTCGCCCCGCATCTGCGACTCCTAGGGTCGCCGGGGCCGCCGTGGGGAGTTCCTTTTTTGTGGTTTTAGCGGTTGATGAAGGGTTTTTTAAAACCATATGATTATGGTCTTTTGCTGGTAGACATGTTGGTTGATGGTTGATCTTTGTTGATTGGTTTATCAATGTTTATCATGGATGGTTGGGCGAATTTTGGGGTGATGATATGGGATGAGAAAAAAATCGTAGCAAACCATAAACTCTGGTTTATTATTACTTGTAAGAGGGTTACCTCCAACACGTGAGAAAATGTATACGTTTGAACAGAGAAAATCTATATGTTTGATGATCTCCGAAGCGGGTTCCAGTCTAAGGATCATCAATGCGAACCTTAGCATAAGCCAATCTTATAGAAAAAGTAAGCATACTGTAACCCACAGGATGGTGCCCCCCAGTTATAAGTTGGTTTCTAACCATAGTAAGTATAGATATATCTACCATAAACATCCATAAACGATAGTGAAATTGGAGTTATTTGCACCAACTTAGCGATTCCGAACTGGGGCACCCCCTTGGTATCTATCCCTCTTTAGTATTAACTAAGACTAAGTCTGTATGCATCGTTTCGTGCTATAAGCTGAGCATCGGCAAAGCCAGGAAGTGCCAAAAGTGTTGCCCTCGTCGGTAAAATCCCCAAAGCCAATGGGGTGTTTGAACATCATCTTCCCCATGAAATCATCAACATCATAAATATGAATACGATCATTTGCATGAACCATGATATTAAAAAACAAAATCGACTTTTTTGTTGGCTGGATTCCATGTAAACTGTTTTAAAATTTTATGTTCCCATGTAAAAATTGAACGGATCTTGGGATATCTTAAACCCTTTGTCGGGAAATGTTGGGAAGCTACCCCCTTAATGCACCGCAGCAACACGCCCCGCTTCCGCGCCTCGATTGTATACTCAGTACTTCCATACTCGGGGACTTCAACATCTGGAGCATCTGGTCCTGGCCATGATGGCCATGACGGCCATGACGGCCATGATGGCCATGGGAAAATCCTGATCCCAAACCTATGTTTTGCGGGGCTGCCATTGATATAGTTGATATATATATATATATGTATGTATATATATATATGTATATATGTAATGTATATGTATGTATATATATATATATATACGGTAACTACATTTAAATATACGGAGTTTTAAATATGTGAACAAGTATTTAACTACATTCAAATATACGAACTGGTATTTCATACTACCTCCGGGGCCTCGCTGTCTGGCCCGCCCTCCACATATTTAAATGTCGTTACCGTATATATATATATATATCCAACTTGATGCACAGTTCACCAACTATCCACAATATAGTTGATCATCATCCATGTCATGTTTTTTTTTTTTTTAATAACTTGATATAGTTGGGGACATGTTAATTAATGGACTATTGAGGGAATTTTGCATGTTGAATTGAGGGGGATCGAGGACGTATTCACCCACCCATCTTGTGGCGTCAATGAAGCGAACATTTCCATGTTTTGTTTACTCGACCCATACCATCCATGGGGGTGCTATGTATTTACCTACATTAAACGATAATTATTCGGGCTACTGCACATGATCTGGAAAACATATGTATGGTCATGTATGTGTGGTTCACTCTCCATGTTCCCTCTATTTCCACTGGTTTTATCAGATTTTCATGCATAAATATATATATATATATACCCTCTGGTAAACGTTTACATAACTGTGGAAAATCACCATTTTCAATGGGTATGGTCATTTTCAATAGCGAACTGTTAAATTACCAGAGGGTATATCCAGATATATGCAGAATGATACATCTGTCCGATCCACGTTAATATGGAGGTTTCCTAAAATGGGCTGGGCGTATCGCTAAGTCACCCACTTAGCGGTAGGATTTTCCATGAAAACCCAGCTATTGGGGTATCCTCATTTCCGGAAACCTTCATTTACCCTCTGGTAAACGTTTACAGTTTGCGAACTTGACAATTGCCATAGAATTTTTGTTGATTTACCCAGCTAGATAGCATGGTGGATCGTTCCATGGTTATGTAAATGTTTACCAGAGGCTAAACCTCCGTTTTCCTATGGTTTTCCTATGGTTTACCAGAGGGTAAGTGGTATTCTACCTACCAAACAAAACACCGTGACCTCACCCAACACCCTACACGTCGTGCGTCGTGCGCCTGCACCAAAGATGACGCGCTGCTGTCCAGCAGCCTGCGACCATAGCCCAGTTACAACAGTCAGAACCATTATTGTTGGTTAAAATCACCGTTAACATCACCACTAAAATATGAATAAATACAGTATGTGCAAAAAAAATATATATATATATTAAACATATATAATGTAGAGTAAATATATATGGTTGGTGGTATACCTACCCCTCTGAAAAAATATTAGTCAGGTGGGATTACTATTCCCAATATATTATGGAAAATAAAACATGTTCCAAACCACCAACCAAATAATATATGGGTAAAATAATGCCATAAACCATCCCCTTGTCATCAGCAATTTTTGTTGGGTGGTATGTATAAACCATCCCCAGTCATGGGTGGTTGCATTCTTTCACTCACATAATCCACATTAACTATAGTTATAAATATATATCACCATAATGGAATTGTTAGACTTAAACCATGGGTTATTATTCCAATAATAATGGTATTACTATGGATATGAACTTCGCTAACTATGGTTATTAGTCCACTAATAATAGCTATGGATAACTAAATTGCATGCATATCATTAATAACCCACATTAACACATGGGTTATTATTCCAACATCATTAATAACTCACATTCCAATAATAAACCATGGTATTATTCACCCACATTGCATTCATATCATATAGTCATCGATCGTGTTCTTCCGACTTGTTCAACCAACTCGAAGTCGCCGCCCCAGCTGCCCCAACGCTTAAATAAGCACCTCAAAAAGGTCGCTGAGAGAATCTGGATGTAAACTGATATAGTCATGAGTCAAATTATAGTTTATGTACCTTTAAATAACTTGGCTTAAACTTGGCCACACAAAAATATACAGTATGGTTTTTTCAATATCACAAATAAACGGCTGGGTGGAGCAAACCAATGGATTTGAAAGGAACCAATCAAAACAGTGTAGAAAATCATTTTGAATGCTATTGATGACCCATAGTTCAGACATTTTGTTTGCAGCAAACGATGGTATGACAATCATAAACTGGACCTAACGTACTCAGGTCGTTATGAATCTACAGCCATGCATCCTGGATGATTTCTTTGCTATGGTGAATTTTCCGTTGCCGTGTTTCATTGGATTCCTTTAAGGGATTCAATTTACAGGAAACGACCCCCATAAATGGTGAAAACCATGGTTTCCAGTTTCCTGCAAAGATTTTCCAAAGAAAACCAATCCAATGAGCTGTTTGATGACTGGCAAGTTTTTTTCGAAAAAAATGGGGCCATTTCAGGATAGCCCTTTATATCTGGGACAGACCCATCTCTACCATTCAGAAATCCGTTTACCCAGGAACGTCCTTCCAGGTAGTAATGGAGGGGTCGGCTTGGACAACGCTGCGACACCAGAAAAAAAACACCATTCGCTATCATCACAGATCAAACAAGGAAACATACAGTACCGGTACATGTTAGGGTGGGTTTGAATTTATAAATCATTGGTTCAATCCCAGCATTCCTCCAGGATGCCCTTCAAATCATCCACCGCACAGCGGTACCTTCCGCCGGACGTACCAACGTCCAAAGATGGCACCAACACCTGAGAGCACCCGAAACATATGACCGGTCGAACGACCGGCAAAACCGGTGGGCGTTTCACCTGGATTTAATGAGATATTAAAGATGATTCAAGGGGATATCAATGGGATATTAATGGATATCAATGGATATTAATGGATATTAATGGATATCAATGAAATAGCAATAGGATTTCCAATTTGGGTGTCTGAAAATTGTGATCACTTATATCACTTGTTATACTGGGGAAAATGACCATTGAGCAGTGGATGGAACATGGAGAGTTTTCCCCGGATTTTCCGGACAAGCCCTGTTTTGGAATGTTGATGCTTGGTGATGGTGAGCATCAAGATGGCTCTGGATGAATTTCATTGAATTTCCCCCACAGCGACTTATTATCAGATTCCCTACTAAAAATGGTGATTTACCTACAAGAAATCACTAACCTGATCATGAAAATAACTGAAATGGGGCCATTTGTGGATGATTTCCCGTTACTAACCATCATTCCAGTGACGTCACAGTGAGGTCATTACAATTCATCCAGATTTATGATTGTCATTGCGACACATTGTGACCATGAAAGCTTTGGGTTGACAAGGAACAGGCGAACAAAACCACAAAAAGGCAACTTGACTTGCATCCTCCTTCTACCTTATATTCAGACAAACCCAGATAGTATCATGGCCAATCAGCCAGATACCCTGCAAAAAAATATAAATTCTTAGCTGGTCTGTTGGATTAGTTTTATACCCATCCCAAATCCTTCTATTCTTATTAGCTAATATTCTTAGAAACAAATCCCAGATTGGTATAGCTGGTTAGTAGATAATCCCATTGATACCAAAAGACTCCAAAAGACTATAGAGGATTCGTTTGTACCCAGCCAGTTGGTTAACCCATCTAAACCATTCCAAGGCTGGGTAGTGGTTTAGTTGGAATTAGACTATGTTGAATTAAAAAAACTATGATGGATCCAAAAGACTAATACCAAAGTTAACTATTAGTTAAACTATGTCTAAAACATTAAACCATAGATAATCCCATACCAAAAGACAATGTTGGATTAGTTGAACTACCCATCCAGTCGACCGAGGTCAGCTCCAATGGTCCCGACCATATCTTGGTGAAATGCTCCATCTACAACTGGTGAACACTATACACAAAAAATATAGTTAATTACTTTTTTTGGAGACTGATACTATATATAATTATTATATATAACTATCATATCATATATCAGATACAGTATCTATTTAGTTCTACACAACAAAAACTTCACATTGATCTACACCATGAAAACATCTCCGACGGTCACAATATGTCGCTGAGAGACATAAGCCGAGGATGGAGATGATCACCATGGTCCAGATCAGGGGAGTTGGATCCCAGAACTGGGGAACTTCCCTCGGCGAACGTCTGGGCTTTCTTCAGGGGCCGGGGGTCGTTTTTTTCGGGCGTCTGCCGAAAGGGGAATTTCAGGGACTTTCATATGCTTACCAACCTGCTAAGTCCATTGAAAAATCCAGGATCCCCATTGAAACCAGCAGTTACTGGATTTGATGAACACAAGGGGGCTTGATAAACAGAAAAGATACCTGAATTTAAGCAGCAGCGATGGAGAGTTCACCAGCTAAAAATGGGAAAAAAAACCTAAAGCCGTGGCCGTTTCGGTTTGTTCAAACATGGAGTACCCCCAGAAATTGTGTTTTCTTGGAGAAAATGATGATTCATGCTGAGAAGAATGGGTAACATATTTTCCAAACCTGCTTCGTTGGTGGTAGTTTCACCCAACGTTGGAAGTGAGGAGAAAAGGGTGGATGTCAACCAACAAAGCCAGGATGTCCGATAAGTGACATATTATATTGTATTTTCATTTTGGCAACCGGTTATTTTACAATTTTCGATGGGAAAATTATTGATGGAAAATCAATCTCAATGCCGCTAGAATGATCCCTGATGTTGGATCAAACTTGAAATATGCATATATATATACATACTGTATACAGTATACATATACTTGTTCATATATACATATAGACACATGTAAATGTTTTTTTTTACGCTTGGCATAGAAAGTACAGCACAGTCAATTGGTCGAGGACCATCCCAAGCTGGTGTCCCCGTGTTGTTTGTTGGTTAAACCCCATTCACTAGTTGGATATATCTATCATAACGCCAAGTGACTTGAGTTTTGGCCTGTGCCACTTCCATGTTTCATGAGTTGATGGAAAACTTCCTGCCGAGCCACACGAAAGGCAGGGTGGTGGTGTAGTTGCTCATGTTGAATTCCAACTCTTCGGGACTGAAGACCTGCGAAAACGTGAGCGTTTTGAACCATGGCGAAACAGGGGAAATTATATACAGACGACAAGTTCAAATGTGGATATGTTTTAGGTGTATATACGTCTGTATAATGCAACGATGTATACATATTTACATATGTTTTACATATGTGTATATACACACATAATATTAATATGTATAATACCTATATATCTACATATATACTAAATATGTACTTTATATGTTATGTAGAGATCTGAGCTTTTCGGGAGGATCAACGGCTTCAAACCTTTGTCTCATTTTTTCTGACCACGGATCTGGTGAAATGTTGGCCCCCCGCTATCCCACTGCTCCATATTCGCCTCAGTTTGATGCTTAGAAATTATAACTAGGGAACCACCAGCTTGTTTTTTTAGCTGGGTGGTAAACAAAACCCAATGATGGCTAAGAACTGCACTAGTAATCCAATTTCAGTACGTATGATAGATAGATAGATAGATAGATAGATAGATAGATAGATAGATAGGTAGGTAGATAGATAGATAGATTGATACATAGATAGATAGATAGATAGCTAGATAGATAGATAGTCAAGAAGGATTAGATTAGATTGGATTGGATTAGATTAGATTAGATAGATAGATAGACAGATAGATAGATAGACAGAAATATAGATAGATAGAAAGATAGATAGATAAATAGATAGATAGATAGATAAATAGTTAGACAGATAGATAAATAGATAGACAGATAGATAGATTAGACTAGATTAGAACATATTAGAATAGATAAGATAAGATAAGACAAGAGAAGATAAGATAAGATTAGATTATATTAGATAGATAGATCGATTAGACTAGATTAGAACAGATTAGAATAGATAAGAGAAGATAAGACAAGAGAAGGTAAGATAAGATTAGATTAGATAGATAGATAGGTAGATAGATTGATAGATTGAATAGATAGATAGATCGAACGATCGATAGATAGATAGAAAGAAAGATAGATAAATAGATAAATAGGTAGATAGATAGATTAGAACAGATTAGAACAGATTAGAATAGATGAGATAAGATCAGATAAGACAGGACAAAAGAAGAGAAGATAAGATAGATAGATAGATAGATAGATCGATCGATAAATAGATAAATAGATAGATAAACTAGATAGATAGATAGATAGATAGATAGATAGATAGATAGACAGATGGACAGATGGACAGATAGACAGATAGACAGATAGACAGATAGACAAACAAACAAACAAGCAAACAAACAAACAAACATACATACATACCATACATCACATTACATTACATTGCATTACATTACATTGCATTACATTGCATCACATTACATTAAATTACATTATATTACATTACATTGCATTACATTACATTAGATTACATTGCATCACATTACATTACATTGCATCACATTACATTACATTGCATTACATTGCATTGCATCACACTACATTACATACATACATATATCCCCATGTATGGCACAAACATGAAGCAGCGCATTGGACAACCAGACATAGACCCTGCAAGTAGGGTGTTTGATTTCAATATTCCAATAGGGTTAATAGGGTCAACCTGCTAGCTGCAATCCAACTGTAAAAGGAAAACCGGCTAGATTGTGTATTCGTATATATATATATATATTAGATACAGTGTAATAAGATACAATGTTTACAGTACGTATATAATGAACATATATATATATATATAAATATATATATATATGCATATAAACACATATAGCATATGCATTATATATAATTATATATATACACATGTAATCACATGTATAATCCCATGTATGGCCCTGTATGGCAATACATTGTAGCAACCCAAATTCATCCACTTTTGGTGACCATGTTCGCCACTGGACCTGCCTCGTCTCCAATGACCACCTGTAACTCTGCCTGGATCTAGTTCTTTGGAGGTTTCATGGGTTTGAATAGGTTTGAATAGGTTTTCATAGCTTCTATCATGGTGTTCGAACGGTTAAGGATACGGAGTGTTCGAACGGTCAAATCCTGGGGACCATACGAAGTGGCTTAGTTCACCCTGCAAGGTGGTACCCCCAAAGGTTATGTGAACGTTGGTTTATTATAATCCCCATGAAAAGTATAGGTATAACCCCAACAGGATGGTGCTCCCCCCAGTTATAAGTTGGTTTATAACCATAGTAAGTATAGATATATCTACCATAAACCCTAGTTCTTGGCCTTTTTATGAACCAACTTAGCGTTCACGAACTGGGGCACCACCCTGTGGATATCGTGAGAATATCATGGAAATATCATGGGGAGTTTGTGGACTCTTGCCAACCATCTGATGTTTAGTAAGTGGGTCGGATCAGTTATTCCAGTACGGTAAGTCATCGGGTCGTCCACTTGTAAGAGTGAACTAATCAGAACAGCTAAAGAAATGGCCAAAAACATCAAGTCATTGGGTCATTATGATTTGCCCTGTGCAACACCCTGGATGTCCAAAAAAAAATATGGTGCTTCAGTCCCGAAATTGTGTTTTAAATACTAAACTTGAAATTCCTATGGTTTATGAGTCCCTCTTATTTCATGATTAAGTCCTCAACCCAGTCAATTGGTGTATCGACGCATCAGTTGGTGTATCACACAACGTGGGATTTGAAATGATAGACCCTCCCCAAGTGTCAAGCATAACTGGAGCTACATTATTCAATCATCCAAAGCAGGCTTGTGCATGTCCAATCTTCATAAACCACGGGCGATGGTTGTTATTTATTTTGGATCCCCAGTTACTCAGCAACTTAAGCAATAAAAAACACTGGTCTTCACAAAAACCATGACTTGGAGGATCTTCCCACTTGGCAACTGATTAGTCACCCTGCTTAGCAAGTCCTCCAAGTGGCTCATCCCAATATGTAAAGGGGCTACAGTTTTTTTAGTGTGGTTACTATACTTACTGAGATGATCCTGCACATATCTTTACTTACCCTCTGGTTATTTAACATAGCCATGGTATAGATAACCCATAGAAATAGATGGTTTACCTGGGTTTACCGTTCTTAAAAATGGGTGGATCTTTCCATGGCAAACTGTTAGTCATAACCAGAGGGTAGCCATATCCCATGTTGGTGGAATCTCCAAATCCGAACCAAATCCATCGCCAAGTTGGCGCCAAGTTCAGTAGATTAACAAACCAGGTTTTCCAGTAAATATATCGCTATTTAAACATATAATACATATATATATATATGTAGATGCATACATAAATAAATATATATATATATACATTATACTGTACATATATACATATACATGTCTATACTTATATCTATACTTCGATGGCTACACCAACAAACATGTCACTTGCGGGTCGCTTTTTTAATGCCCGGCGACTGGCCTGACGATCCGTGACGGTCACGGCATAGGAGGTCGCACCACCGCTTTCGACGATGGCCTACAGCGTGGTGGGGAACGGTTCACCACGGCATTTACCCTCAAACATACAAAAAACTATGGAAAATGGTGATTTATAGTGGATTTACCCATTAAAAATTGTGATTTTCCATACATAACTATGGAAAATCACCATTTTCAATGGGAAAACTCACTATTTCGACTGGGCCATTTTCAATAGCTATGTAAACATTTACCAGAGGATAGTGAGGAAAATGAGGATTTCACGGGATTTTCATGGAACTGAGCCAGCTAATTTATTTTTTTAGCATATCAAACCATGATTCTTGGATTTGAAATGGGAATTCAAGCGAACAAAGGTATGGATTTAACCAGCAAACATGAAGGCTTGACAAAAAAAAAAGGAATGGATCAGTTGGATCAGGCAAATTTGGAACCCAACCAACAAGAATGATAATGCCACAAAAAAAAATATGATGTGCTCGTGGATTTTTAAGAAATGATAGCTAAGTTGGTAAACAGAGATAACGAGCTTAACGATTGAATTTTTGGTGGATACGATGGGTGAACATACACGAATTTACAAAACTGAGGGCCCTGTTTTTGTGCGGTATGCATTATTCCTAAAATAAAAACCACCAATACCCTACTAACATATCGTATCATACCCAATAAAACCGATTTACACTTGGGCATATCGTGCAACCATTTTTGCTGCTTAACATGCTTAATGGAACATTTTTTTACCGGCGAAATACACTCGAAATTCAAAACATCCTCATGTTCATTGCTCAATTTTGTAAAAACTAATTACAACACACCTAGTTGTCTGCTGATATTTGAACTGTAAGCCACCATTTACTGCCCAAATCCTCATGTATTCCTTAGTACCTTTGTGCCCTTTTAGTGCTTAATTGCTTAACGTATCGCTTAAACACGCTCAAAAACCATCTTGAATCCATGATTTCAATTGATTTCAACAGTTTTCCGCCAAACACGACTTTACGCCATATATGTTCGATCCTTTTCCCATGGTTTTCCCAGATTTTTCCATAGTTTTCCTGTGTTTTCCAGGATTTTCCCCTGGTTCTCCTCCAACCGGCGCCCTGCACCTGGACGATGGACTGCGCGAACTCATCGTCCGTGGGGAGGCTCAAGGCTTGGACCAGTTCCAGGCCCTTGGTCACGGCTTCACCTCAGGGAATTAGAAGATGTTTGAGATAATACATATATAGTTTATATCAATAGTTTTCTAACATCATCAATAGTTCATATCAATATATGTTTATATTATATCAATAGTTTATATTGTTTATAACTATATAACTTTTGATATATATATATATAGAGTTACTATGGTTATTAAACTATCATATATAGACTGTATATATATATATATATTGTTTAGATATATTCCCAATAGCTTATTATAACACATATTCTACATATATATATACATACTGTATCATATTTTGTTCTAGGGATGTTTAGTTAAAAACTATTGGCATATCATATAAATATAGGGATTATATATATATACATACCAGAAGTTTATTATAGTACATCATAGTATATTACTATAAACAATGGAGGTAATATGTACTATCTGATAATATACCAATATATAGTTATATATAGTTGTTAGACATATAGATATACATATTGGATAGAAAGGTTCATATAATTGATCTCATTTTATCTATTTGTGTACAATTGATGTATGTATACATTGTACTGTTTATAATAGTAGTGTATCATAGTATTTAATAGTGTATTACTACTCAAATGGGATATAATATAATTTGTATTATTAAATACATAATATACCATATATAGCTATATATATATATTTATATATGCATAATATGACATAATGGATGAAATGGTAGAAGGTTGCTCCAATCACCATGGTCAATGGTATATCATAGTATCTAGTAGCTGCAGCTATAAGTTATCATGCACAGTTTGGCTACAAACCATCATTGCGTTTGTCACAATCAGTATCGTTGTAATCATTACGACAAATCTGGATATCAACTATCTATATCTATATCTATATCCTTTTCTTCTATGATACTCTATGAGCTGTATATATATAATATGAAGAATTGAAACAAAACTCTCATAATCCTATAATCGATATATAACCATTTCCCCAGGGGTAAACGAACAAAAAGATCTGGAAAACCCATGGTAAGTTGTTTGTGGGATTCCCTGGGATTCCCATGATCATCCCTATGGATCCATGGCCAGCCGTACTTCCTCAGAAGCTACGGCTGGATCCATAGGGATATATTGTACTGTTGAATGAAACCAAATATATAACTGTTATCTATATAGTAGGTTGAAATCTATTAGGATATACATTATATTTGGATATCAACTGTATTTGGATATATCACATATTGCTAATGTTTATATCTATTGAATCTACTGACCAGATAGATTTGGGATTTCACGTTGGAATATGAAATATATAGATAGATGTCTGTTGAATCATATTAACAATTATCAACTGACCAAATGTATATCTATGGAATCTATTGAATCCTGTTGGACATAACCAAATATTGCTAATGTAAAGAAACATACTGGGCATAATGTGATATATACATATATATATATATGTAATATACAAGTTATTTTGTTGGATATAACTATATATAAACAACAACACCACCATAGTAGCAATCAAAATAACAATAAACAAATGACAATAATAATGTATATATATATATAATAATGGTGTAAACAATTGTGATGTTACTTAAATACAGTGTAGTAGAATAACAATACATAAATAAATATGATATCAAGGCAAATGGTGGATGCAACCAAGTATATGTTTATATTACATAAATGTAGCATGTAAATATAGTCGACATATGCTTGCAAATGTTTATATAGTTGATGTTAAATAATTTTAACGACATGTAGTATGATGTAATGCTAGTTTTCTGCAACGCTATGATATGTGATGTGGATTAATCCCTTCAAACATGTACATCTCAGTAAACTTGCTGTTTTTTTGATCCCCTGCTCACGCAGTTCAATTTTCAGTGGGCTCTACGTATGATAAGCCAATCGTTTGTCCCCCAAAAATGAAAAAACGTCCAGGTTTGGTGGCTACAGGCCATCCCCAAAACTAACACGGCTTATTTCGATGTGATGCTGACATAGGTTGACAAGTTTGGCGAGTTGTGGTTGTGGGATATATCCCAAAACCCCAACCCACTCAGGGGTTATAACTCGCTTACCAACATCTAGGTATAAGGTGATGCCTGAAGGCTGAAGGCACTGAAAGACTGCAGTGAACATCATCTTCCAAATCGATTTCGTAGTCCCACATCGTTATATGGGGAGTTCCTAAAATGGGGCCCCAATTTTACATCATCCAAGTCAGACCATTTGAGTCTTGAAACCGACTTGGGGAGCCATGACTTAAGAAACCTCGGTCGGCGGAGTCACTTTGATCGGCGACTTCGGTGTTCACAACGTAGTCCACCTTTCGCCCAAAAACATGCGGAGGTTGACCCGATTTGAATGGAGAATTAAGACCATAGGTTTTGACATGTCTGCACCATCAAAAAAAATGGGGTTCCTGTAGATTCCTTAAGCAAATGCATTGAAATGGGGATGTAATGGTGGATTTGTGGATTTGGATAGATTTTAAAAAGAGTTTGAGGCAGCAACAAACTATATCTATCATGATTGTATGTAAGTCTATCTATATGGAGAGAGAGAGATATATATATATTATAAATATCGTTTTTTTTTTAAGCTTCGACGACGCTTCCGCGAAACTTTCCTTCCGCGATGCTTCCACATCCTTCCGCGCGTGCAGCCACACGCACACACTCATCCTCATATGACTCGACGAAGACTACCGAAGACTAACGATTAAATTACTTTACTTCGTGTGATCCCCACCATGACATTTATACATTTTCTTACTGGCAAATCTTCTGGCATTCTATCTGACATATCTTCTGACATTCTATTTGACATTCTATCTGGCATATCTGGCATATGATCTGGCATATTCTGGCATTCTATCTGGCATATTCTATCTGGCATATCTTCTGGCACTCTATTGGCATGACATATCTTCTGGCATTCAATCTGGCATTCTATCTGGCATATCTTCTGGCATATATTCTGACATATCTTCTGGCATTCTATCTGACATATCTTCTGGCATATATTCTGACATATCTTCTGGCATATCTTCTGGCAAATCTATCTGGCATATCTTCTGGCATATTTTCTGGCATTCTATCTGGCAAATCTTCTGGCATTCTATCTGGCATATCTTCTGGCATATTATCTGGCATTCTATCTGGCATATCTTCTGGCATATCTTCTGGCATATCTTCTGACATTCTTTCTGAATTTCTTTCTAACTTTCTTCTGCACATTCTTTGTCCCATATCTTCCTACATGAGGTCCGGCAGGGAACACTTGGCGTGGATACTCGCGGTTGAGGTCCGGCAGGGAACACTGGGCGTGGATGGTCGTGGTTGAGGTCCGGCAGGGAACACTGGGCGAGGATGGTCGTGGTTGAGGTCCGGCAGGGAACACTGGGCGTGGATGGTCGTGGTTGAGGTCCGGCAGGGAACACTGGGCGAGGATGGTCGTGGTTGAGGTCCGGCAGGGAACATTGGGCGTGGATGGTCGTGGTTGAGGTCCGGCAGGGAACACTGGGCGTGGATGGTCGTGGTTGAGGTCCGGCAGAGAACACTGTGGATCGCGGGTCGCAGTTGAGCAAGGACGACGAGGACGACGAGGACGACGAGGAGGACGAGGAGGAGGAGGAGGAGGAGGAGAGGAGGCGGAGGAGGAGGAGGAGAAGGAGGAGGAGGAGGAGGAGGCAACTGACATAAAATCTAACAACCCTCACCTGGCAGGTGGGGAAAAACAGGCTTTCACATGAAGATTTCATCGACCAAGCCGGGGATCTGGATACAGCAGAAACCTGGATTTGGGTATCATAATTTTTGAACCAGGGGACCGTACGTTGTGGTCATGTTCAGTATCCATTGACTTTCTTGGGCGACCGACTTGACAGAATGCGAAGCAGCCAATCGCGTAAAAGTGTGAGATAGCTGTAGACAATACACCCTATTAGTAAGTCCCCAAACCGCTGGTACTTCTGCATACTTCTGTGCTTTTTTCTGACAACCAAATGGAATTTCTGATTAGGATTATCCGATTATCCTCCGATAACAATAAACAAGATGAGATGGAACATGACCAAAGAAACTTGGGGCCATTACAAGGTGGTGCCCCAGTTCGTTAGCTAAGTTGGTGCAAATGATATGGTTTTGTTGGTAGAAATATCTATAATTACTTTTATGGTTTATAAACCAGCTTGTAACTAGGGCCATTGGTTTATAACTCTAGTTTATAGGACTTCCATGACTTGGTTTATAGGTGATACAGCTATGGTGATATACCAAACTAGTTAATGGATGTTAATGGATGTTAATGGGCTTATACAACCACATTATGATTCATCTGGGTAAATTAAAATAATTCACCAACTTGAATTAAGGCCATTTGGAAACCATTTCCCTTATTATCCATAGTTCCAGTGAGGTCGCATTGAGGTGGTTATAATTTACCCTCTGGTAAACTAACATAGCTATAGAAAATCACAATTTATAATAGGTAAATCAACTATAAATGATCATTTTCAATAGCTATGTTAGTTTACCAGAGGGTACCCTGATTCATGATACAAACGAGCTACCCCAAACATGGCTCCTCCTGTCCGGTGAAACGAACGGCACCTTGACCACCAGCTCCTGCAACCTCCGCGCCAACCTCTCCTGGGATACGTGGCTAAGAACTTCGTCCTGGAGATTCCTGGGGTTAATATATATAATAGTTGAATATCCTATACAAACATATTCCCATGTTATATATGGCTAAGGTGATAGTTGGATAATATGATATATATATATGGTTAAACATATAATATTCCTGGGGTCATCTATACTTGATGGTTCATAGAATCTGGAATAGAATTTGGAATATTTATGGGTTACCCTCTGGTAAACATACAAAAAACTATTGAACATGGCCATAGAAATCGTTGATTTACCTATAAACAACGGTGATTTTCCATAGCTTTTTGTAGGTCTACCAGAGGGTATCTCAGATGTTCCATATGTCCCACTGGGCAACTGTGGTTCCTAACCACTAAGTGTGACGATTCTCCAGGTACAAAAACCAGGCAGTATAACCAACCTTATATTCACCTATCAAGGTATTTTTAGTGCTTCGCTTAGTGTATGTGTGTGTGTAGCAGTATGTTTGTATAATTTCAGAGATATTATATTATAAGTTATAATCTCTTTACCCCTAATACTCAACCCTCCCCCCGCAAGGGTGGTTTAGTGAGGATTACACACATATATGTATATATGAACCGTTTAAGGGGTGTTTAATACAAGTGAAAGCACATGTGTTCAATGCGTGTCTATTTGAATTAGTCTATTTAATATGTATAACTTCTAACACCCAACCAGTGCGAAGTCAATATGACTGTGGACAAGTGTCTAACCCTTAATACCCAACGATAGGCAAAAAGGCAGTATGTCTATATCCTACAAGGTGGTGCCCCATAGTTAGCTAAGTTGACTTATAATTTGGTTAAGCCGGGTTTATGGGAAATGTAACTATAATTAATATTTTTTTTAAGCCAATGTATAACGGGGGGGCACCACCTTGTAGCAGAATGTGGATTACTGGGGTATATTCCGAAACATTCCAGCTACAAGGGATTAAACAAGGGGTGTATACCTCACTTAGCAGCCACGTAGCTGACTGTGGATCAAAATAAATTAATTGGGATTATCCGGATGGAACACAAAACATGTTAGAAATCAGCCGCTTGTCCTTGGTTCACTTGTTTTCACCACTATATTCCCATGATATTCACATGATATTCTGAAATAAATTACCATATAAATCATTATGGTAAACCTTTATAAATCCATGAAACAATCCTGTGAAATCTCCAGAAATCCAACGGTTCTGGCCTGGCTTTCACCATCAATTCCCATCCGTCCAACGACCCGAGGCTCCAGGAAGGACCCCTGGGACTCCACAAGGCGACGATCCGGGAGCACCGGCGCCGTGACCTCCGAGGTGTTGACCACCTGGGAGGAATGGAATGGACTCATCCAAGAATGGAGAGTTGGTTTTAACCATCTTGAAAAATATGAAAGTCAATGGGAAGGATTATCCCATTAGTTCATTGATGTTAATTTTGTATATATATATATATATAATTGGTGGTGCAATGTGCCCATCTTGAAAAATGATGGAGTGAACGTCAATGGGAAGGATGACATCCCATAGATGAAATGGAAAAATAAAATTCATGTTCCAAACACCAACCATATATATATTATATATATAACATACTGAGGACCTATGAGGGATACATCTTAGAGTCAATTATCATGATCAACAATGGGAGTGATAGCTGGTAGTAATGGGAATTAGCGAAAATGTGATAGTATGTATTAGTGAGAGTGATAGTGATAATGGAAGTGATAGTGAGCAAATTGATAGTTATAATATGTTATACTGATAAACGTGACAATATTGATACTAGTAATAAATACAATGACTATAAAGATAGATAGTGTATATTTGCAAGTTTTAAACTTAAAACAAATGCTACATATGTGCACATGTAGTTTCTAACCTTTATGTCAGTGATCAAGGATACCTTTAGCCCATCTCTCCCGAGGGTCCACATGGCTGTGAAAATCCTGTGCGCCCAAGTTGCAATGTTCAAGTTTACTACAGACTGTAAGGAAGAATGCTGATAAATTTAGGGATAATTACCCAATTTTCAAACATGCCCATCTCGCCAAATAGTACCACGCCTGCCTTCTCCCTATAGTTTGAATGACCCATGGTTCAGGATCTCGACACAGGATTTTCATCGATTTTCCCTTCCTACAATTTGACATAGCCATGGACACTTACCCATGAACATCATCATTTAGATGATATACCTATGAAATCCGACAATATGTGCCATGTTCAAAGATTGTATCTGGTTTATGGTCACCCCAAACGGGAATCCACACGCCATGGGTATATGAATCCCTAGTCATGGAGTGATGACCATCACCATCCATCACCCAATTTATGGGTCGGTAGATCATCCAATTTCATCTTCTAGTTGGTTATGCATATCCCATGAAAAATCCGCATGGATTTCCCACTGAATCACCAATGTTTCATGATTATGCAAACCCAACTCATCCCCCAATATGAGTACATTCCATTACATCCCCATTTGGCATGGCAATTCCACTTTATCCATATATTATACTATCACTACCCTTTTAGGGAGGGGGGACGTACCCAAATTGCAAGACACAATTTAGATGTTTTTGAAGGAGGTGGTCCTGTTAAATGTTGGCAAGCATTTATTTTTCACCGCGCCTTATTTGCAATATTTCATTTTAGTAGGTCTCCTCATTCTTTACAGGATTTCATTTACTTTCAGAAAAAAACCAGGGGGGCGTTCAATATTGTCCATTGCATTTTTGAAAAATCTAAGAACATGAAAAAAAATAGTGTGAAGGTCTGCAAATAGCTGCAGACTTGCAGAAAATCAAAAATGCAAACTGGAAGCGTATAGGTCCCCAATTGCCTGGTATTTCCAATACAGTTTACATTATTTCTACACTTTTTTTCTTTTTTATCATTTCCACATGTAACATAGCATAGAGGTATAGAAGGTGTATTATTCCTTGCAAATTGCTGGAAAACCTTGAACTTCAAATAAATGCAAAATTAGATGTTGAAGGTCTTCAAATTTACCTCCTACCTATGGAAACAAAAACAATAGAATACAAATAAAGATCTCAAATGGACCTCAAATGGACCTCAAATGGACTTCAAATGAACCGTTATGGGGTCCCCATGGTAAACCCCCTTGCCACGGTTCCTATCTAGCCCCCCTTTTGACCCTCCAACCAAAATATAATATAATATACTATAATATAATATAATAACAATCTTTACATGTGTCATGTTGATTCTGAAAGGAACTGTGGAACCTGAGGTGTAGGATGGTTACATTTTTCAATCTTAGCTTTACTTTCTTTTTCGAGCACTTTCTGCAAGGAACTATGGACCTTATGTATGGATGGTGTTTTTTTAAATATTATATTTACCTTCTTTTTTAAGCACTTTCTGCAAGGAATTGTAGGCCTCAGGTGTAGTATGGTTACATTTGTCTATCTCATTTTACCTTCTTTTTAAACAATTTCTGCAAGGAACTAGGGACCTCAGGTGTAGGATTGTTACATGATTCTATCTTATCTCCACCTTCTTTTTTGAGCACTGCCTGCAAGGAAATAAGGACCTCAAGTGTAGGATGGTTACATTTTTTAATCTCATCTCTACCTTCTTTTTTAAGCACTTTCTGCCAGGAATTATAGGCCTCAGGTGTAGGATGGTTACATTTTTCTATCTTAGTTTTACCTTCTTTTTCGAACACTTTCTGCAAGTAACTCTGGACCTCAGACATAAGTTGATTACATCCCCACAAAGACACCTCACAAACAGTTTACAAACTGCTTGCGGACATTTAATAATTTTTACCTCCCCCCACCCCTCTCCTATCCGTAGAGTACGGGGGGGGGTTCGGAGGGGGGGTACGGGGTGACCTATCTCTTACGGACTTTCACCCCCTCCTCCCTAAGTGTAAATCTTCCGGGGCACGGTTTTTGACGTAGGAGGGGTCTAAGGTACATATAGCCTTCCCCATCGGGAAAAAATCTGCAAGGGTCAAAATTGTTGCTTACATTTTTTGAACGCCCCCCTTGCTTACACCCCACGAGAAGGGTGGTGATATTATATTCCTCTAGCATTCCCATCATTGTTGGTCATATCCCTATAAATCACCATTAAATCACCATTAAAAAACCATTAAAAAACCATTATATAAATCTCATTAAATTCAATTAAATCCCATTTTTAATCCTCATAAAATCACGTTTTGCACATGTTTCCAACAAGGCTTGGACATAGGCTTTTACTATGTCAGCAGCTGTTGCGCGGTTGCCCGGCAGCGGCCCATTTGCCAGGCATGCGTTAAGACCCTGTACAGATGTCGGGTTGGTGCCTATAACTCTTGGTATACGGCAGCCGCCCTGTGTTCATCTTTGGCGCAATCGCCGCGATATACGATTCGGCCTTTCATTTTATGCAAATGATCGGCTAGTTCGTAAAACTTTAAAGAGGCGATAGTCATAAGCTGGCCGAAATGCACCGAGATGCCTGAGGCCTTTGCTTCCTTTCGAACAGCCTTTTTTTCTCGCGGACAGAGTTTAGATCCCACGTGCCTGCCTTTACAAGGCCAACTCAGGCAAACTCTTAGATCGCCAGGACGGGTATCTCCGGTATCTCCCACAATCCGCCCTCTTTTGGCATGATCCCGCCTCAAGGGTCACGTTCACCTCAGACTCGTTCACCTGGCAAGATGATCCATGTCCAACCATTCTGGATTGGGTTCATAGTGGAATACAGCTATTTTTAATGGAAATAATGGAATGGGAATAATTGCTTAATATGGTGGAAATATCTTAGTGGGAAATATCGTATCTGAATATCCAACCAACTTTAACTTGGGAATATAGTAGAAATCATGGGATATCTTAATGAGATATTTGTAGTGGAAAAATGGCTTTATAGTGGAATGGGATATTCATGGGGTATTAAATATGTTGATAGCGTAATCTTCATAATATGGTTGGCATTTTTTTTGTAATGGGATGAACTACAAACAATGGGATATGCTAATAGTGGGATAATGATCGTAGTTCAACTATTATCCGTTTATATCCTGCTATTATCCATATTTCATATTTGTTTTAAAGTAAACCTGATAATATTGGGATATATTAGGATATTCATGGGATGATATGGGTTCATATGGAAGAATGGTGGGATAATCGTAGATAATTATGGTATAGCCGCAATAAACCATACTCCATGGCCACTCTTAGATACCGTGCAAAAAAAAAGCTGGTTTGTAGATAATCCCACTGATACCAAAAGACTATTTTGGATTAGTTTCTACCCATCTAAGATTGCCCTAGATACCCCATCATTAAACCACCATTAAACCATCATTTCACCATCTAAGATTGCCCTAGAATAGAATAGGGGTTTACTATTGGGACCACTCCTTGGGATGATGTAACATGACCCCATCAACCCAACGTCTCGGGGATCTCGGGAAATTCATGGAGTTTCTCCCGTTCTCTTTCCAACAGCTCTTTCATAAAATCCTCGTTCCTGTTGGTGTTGAGGGATGTTTTGGTGAACATACCTTATTTGTTCATTTGTCTTCATTTGTGGCTGAGACTTTTCAACTTTCATGGATCCTGAACCATTGAAGATTGACCCTTCGGACCCGAAAGAAACATCCCGTGAATCGGATCCCTGATTATAACCCATACAACTCCATATATAAAAGTGGGATTCAGTGGGTATATTCTTCCATCAATCGACCTCTTTTTTTGTTGACCCATTTACGATCCCTGCCACCCCAACGTGCCTGGCACATGTCCGCAATGCTCTTCGTGATGCCCTTCTTGGCATTCGGATCGTTCACGAACTCCTGAGGGTGTCACAGGGGAATCACCCTGGTCCGTGGTATGTAAAAACCTCCTAAGTTTTGGAACATAACCACAATAACTATGGTGATACCATGGTTACATAATGGTTATATATATATCCTGTGGTTAATTATGGTAATATAATGGTATATGAATATGGTTATATTTATCCACTTAGCTCACTGGAACTGCACTTCCAAGTAGGGGTTTAAGTAATGGCTGACCCTGTCAGACCGTGTGATACGATGCAACATAATCAATATCTAAATTCTTTAAAATATTTCACAGTATAGTTCGCCATTTGCCCCAAATGGTCAGGCCAAAACCAGAAAATGTCAACGTCAAGTGGGAGCATACTCCCATTTTTTTGGGATAACGATTACCGCCAGCCATTCCTGTAGATCCAATCAGCCCTTGATTCCTTTCTACCTTGGATGAATCTCAGGGTGAAAAGATGAAAAGAAGCCAGGACCCTGTGGCTCCCCGAGATTTTCCAAAGCCGATTTTCCTGAAGGTACCCCTCATAGGTTGCTAAAAATAACACCATTCAACTACAGATGTATCCCTTATAATGTAAGTATATATATATATCTACCAATATCAAAATAAATATATAAATAAATAAATAAATAAATAAATAAATGTATATACCCACCAAAAATGCAACAGTTGCCCCTGCTATGAATACGCCCCTGTCTGCTGGCCAGATTTATTGCTCAAAAAAAATCCAGCAGCCTCTCGCCTCAGGATTGTCTACTGCCAAGTTCAAAGCACCCCGGACGGAAGCCTCAGCAGTGCTTAGCCGCTTAGCCGTCAGCGGTCTGTGGCCATCAACAGATGATATCTGTCGGAAAGGGCATTTTTTGGTTCACCCCGGGAACCATGTGTGGCTTATAAACCTGATTCGATGGGGTAAGGTCGTTGGGAAGTAAGCCATGATTCTTGGGCTGGAGCCAGTTCCTCAAACTCATAGGAGTAAGACCTGCCTGGAGATATCTCCTGATTCTTCACTGGGTTAGTTCACCCCGATAAGTAGGCTAAGTGGGATGATGGCTGGGTTGAACCAACGGACTTAAGATGCCTGGGGCGAACCACCACTTTTTTTCAATATCCAATTATATGCGGATATCCGATTGTATGGCCGGACGGAATGAGTTGACTTGCTTCTAAATTATATAACTTGTAAGTAGGACACAAGATACAACTGTTTCAACGTCCCCACAACACTTATAATCCCTTCCCCCTATTACTAAACAAACCCCAAATACCAAAAACTAGGTGCCATTCCGAATTTTGGGACATTTCAGGTTCTTGCCATAGGCCTCGTCGCTGTGATTCGGCTGCTTGCGATCGGATGCGCGTGTTCTTCATGGCGCGCATGTTCGCGATCATCATAAGAAGTGAGTGGAATGCAACGTCAGTTTCAGTGTTTAGGTTGCTCGACATCATTTAAAATGATTTCTGTGTCGAATGCTGATCCAACCCAGCCTAATGGCCGCGTTCTTCGCAGACAACAGTCTGTTTGCCATAACAGAGGCCAATCAAGATCATTGAGTCGCACTCTGCATCGGAGTCGCCTCCCATTTGATGTACTCTCCAGCCTGGGTTGATGACACAATAGTAAATGTTATGCGATTCATGGCAACTCGGTGCATATTGATTTGGGCTACTGGGGAGGCCCATTTTTGCGCGCCAGCTTTTTCTTATGTTTTGAGGACCAAAAAAAGGGCCCCTTCTTTGTCATATTGTTCTGCTCCAATTTCCATAGCCTTGAAGCCCACGAGGCCTGCCTCGAAGCCTGCTGGTCAATTTGACTTTCACTTGATCCCCTTTACAAAACAAATTAAACATCAAGGTCCCATTCGAGGGTTTCACCCCTTAATAATGAAAACTCCCGGTTTATTCTTAGGGTCCCAGACTCGGATTTTTGTCCTTTATTTTTCAAGGTTTTGATTATTAGGGCTTCGGAATCGAATTTGATTTTACCAAGGGATTTGATCGATTTTGAAACGGACAACTCTAGTTCTTGTCTAATTAAGGTTTTGATTGCATTGTTATAAGGGAAAGCTTCTCACCCTAATACTCGGGAAGGTTTAAGGTATTAATGGAAGGGATTCATGATCAAACCGGCGCAGGCCTGCAAGGGTCAGAGACTCACAAGCTGGCGCCGCAATCCACTGATAAGTTGGTGAACAAAAACACCTGGTTGGTGGTGCAATAACCATCTTGAAAAATGATGGAGTTCGTCAATGGAAGGATGACATCCCATATATGAAATGGAAAATAAACAATGTTTGAAACCACCAACCAGACACCCACATGGATATATCATGATATATCATGATATATCCATATCTTTTGGATATGATCATACGTTAAACATCCTGGTTGGTGGTTTGAACCCCTCTGAAAAATATGAGTTCGTCAGTTGGGATTATTCTTTCCAATACAAGGGAAAAAAAGAAGTCATGTTCCAAACCACCAGCCAGCATCTATAAACCAACTAATGTGAACTAACTATGGTTTCAACCCAAGCCCTTGGAGTTATGAACCAACCTTGCTTCGTTCCTCGGGCTCCGGACGTACACAGGCAGTTTGCTGCAGTTGGGCAAGGTGCCAATGAGATCCCCTGCCGTCTCCGGGATCCAATTGATGAGCGTTGTGAACCGTTGAGGTGGCCTCCAGGTATAAGTTGTTAACCTTGAGGTTATAACATGTGATAACCATAAAACATTGGGTTTCATTGGTTAAAGGTCTTGGGCTTCATTGGATGAGCGTTAACCATTTTTGAGTTGGTGCCCATGAACTGTAGATATGTCGTTAACACCAATCCCTGTCCCCGATCCATCCCGACTCGCGGTGAGCAACCGATCCAACGATTTTCTGGTGCTGAACAGAATGGACCAACATGACTCCAATCCTTAGATCCTTAGTTTGCCTAGAAATCAAATGAGCAAACAGCTGGCCTCACAGTTCTGAGTAGTTCTGTTTGTTGCTTTTTAAGCTCATCTAGTTCGATTTATATCATGTTATATCATGTTATATCCATAAAATTCTTACAACCTATATAGGATGTCTGGAAACTCAGCTCCCCCAAACCCCCAGCACAATCGCACGTCCGAACAGTCGCTCGCCAGTCGCTTGCCACGCCTTGCCAACAAAGGAAAGACTCGTCGATTCCGCCCCATCCCAGGGCACATCCGATGGTACAGTTCTGACCTCGGCATCGGCATCGCGAAGTTAAGAGCTTAATAGCCATAGGTCTAAACCAGTCAGATGAATGGATTGCATATAATATGACTAAGAAATCTAGGTTAATGAATTATATATTATATATGATTTTATAATTGCATATAATTACACAATTTTTATTTAATCATCATGTAATTATATATGATATGACAAAAAATCTGGATTGTAAGCCACTTACGGCATGCAAGGAGAACTCCGGGTTGCTCCCAACACGCCAAAGGTGGAACTGTTGTAGTGCTAAAATGACCCCGTTGTTCCCCCCAACGTTGGCTATCATTTACCCTCTGGTAAATAAACATAGACCCTGAAAATCACCCATTTTTAATGGAAACCAGTCTTCCAACCACTATCTGCCAGGGTCTATGTTAATTTACCAGAGGGTAAATCATATAGACTGGAGCAATTAATTGTAGAAATCCAATAGAAATCGTGACATTTGAGCACTCACTCCTGCTCAGCCAAGGCTTCAACACAGCCGCATCCCCAGGCACAAGAACTAATTACCCTCTGGTTATGACTAACATAGCCATGGTATAGATGGCCCTAATCGAAATAGATGGTTTACCTATTAAAAAATGGTGATTTTCCATGGCTATGTTAAATAGCCAGAGGGTAATTCATATGGTATTGATTCAATCCCATAACCTTCCATGTTCTCACCCCCTAAAAAAAGGTAGCACATGTAGCCTCCAGAAATCTTCATGGACACGGAGAAGCTATGGGAAATCTACAGTATGTGCTTGGATGAGCTGAGGAGTTAGTCAACTGGCAAGTAACCCCTTATGAATCTGGGTACATTTTCGTGGCTCCATTAAACCCCTTCGGGGATCCATGTGGGAGCCAGCTGCATGACCCATCCAGGTCGGATTTACCGCTGGGTTGCCCTCACTGGGACTGGTCGTGCTCTGGCAATCATGCTCGTATTGCTCACCCAATCGCAAGGCACCAGACTAGGGGTTCACACCGCGCAGCTTCGATGGGGTTCTCGGGAGGATTTCACTATACCAAGATCGATGCTCCACAAACGCCACAACCCTACAGTGGCATGCCGATCCACAGGGCATGTTGGCACAAAAAATCTTGACCCATCCCCAAAGTGATCACCACAAACCATGAAGACACGTTTTCTTAACGCAACAATCTCAAAACATCTCAAAACATGCAATTTCAAGGGGTAGCGACGTGGAATCACACACCACATGCGACCATGTAATTACCCTTGTGGTCAGTGAGGTTTCCTGAAATATTCTCTGATATCAGACAAGAATCGGCCACAAATGAGCAGCCTTTGAGTCCACCAAACAAATTACGAACATCAGCGGTGTTCAACCAATTTCGCTGCTTTTCAGACCCGTCAAACATCAACAAAAACATCATTAGTCGTCATTAAACATCAATAAACCAGCAAAAAACACGGGAAAACTGCAAGTCTTGTGCAGTTTTCCAATGTTTTCCATCTACCACAGCTTCCCAGTCGTGACCCTCGTGACCCCCGAAAAACGGCTGGAAAAACGGCCCTAACTTGGCGTCGCCTGAGTGTTGGTGCCCAGCCCAGCAGTGGCAGTGATGGGTGGATCACAACTCTTCAGGATGCATCCTGAAAGATCCAGGCTGTAGACCTAGCAGTGCCAGCCGCTGACCCGGTGACCCCCCGGTGATTCCAAAAAAAACCTGTTAGGTGGTGGTGAACTTGTTTTTTTGGAGCAAATGTTGGTGGAAAGTTCAGTGAAAGTGTCGGGGTTGGGGTAGATCAATCTCAAACTTAGTTGGATTTGATGGGCTGACATGAACCCACTTGTAACTAGGAAACACCACCTTGTAGCTGGTGATGAGAGCTCAGAGATGTGGCTTAATTCATCAGGCAGAAACAAATATCGGCTGCATGTCATGCCTAGTCTAATGATGGTATATGATGATTATTTCATTATTATAATATATATATATATATATATACACCTTATAGATAACCAGCAACGAACAAAAAGCTGGACAACATGTTGTTCCATTCATCGCTCAAAACCAGGATTTATGGAGCTCAGTTTGTCAATTGATCCAACTCAAATCGGTCCAGCTAGTCGGGCCCTGTACCCCGGCACTGGATTTCTTGAGCGTGAAAAAAACCATCTGACCCCTTTGGGTAAAGTGGTGGCGAATAAACCTGGCTACTAGTTCTTGAAAGTTATAGGCATAGTTTCTCGAGACCATGGGACGCAAATTCCAAATAGAAAAACATAGTTTTTTATATTAGGGTTTTAAATTTAGTATTAGGGGGAACCCTAATAATAAATACCCCCTAATAATAAAAACTACCTGAGGTGTGTTGATTATTTGGGGGGGGTTCGTATTAGGGGGAAAGGATTCTTCCGTTCCAAACACCCCCCGGGATCCCCCAACAGAAGCCGTGCATCCAACTGTGAACCTCGGTCGATCTGCTTCAGATTTCCGGATGTTTAACTGGTACCCGGACAGCTCGCCAACTCTCCTGTAGAGAAACAGGATTTCCAGAAAAATTGGTTGGTGGTTTCGATTCAACCCCTCTGAAAAATCATGGAGTTCGTCAGTTGGGATGATGACATTCCCAATATATATGGAAAGTCATAATCCAGCCATGTTCCAGTCACCACCAACCAGTGGTGAAGCATCCAGCTCCCGTATCTTCAGTATCTTCAGTTCGGGTCCCATATATCTGACAGAGATCAGAGCTCCCAACGAGCCAAGCAGATTGGCGTCCAGTTGGGAACAGGTACCTGTAGCCTGCTGCATCTCAGCGGATGACTGGATGGGTCTGACGAAAACTCCGAGACATTTTGAGCGTCATGGAATCTGAGATATACCCGATATACCCTGCACATATGTGCAAAGAGAACTTATTCTTTAGATGGTTTTTTGGGCATTTGAAGTTTGTATTTGCACAGAGTATTTGAATATGTGAACATCAAAATGGCAAGAAGAACTAAGGTTAACCCATGGCTGCTATAGTAGGCGATGGATCCAGGAATTAAATGGACTTAAAGCTGAATTGGAAACTCATGGAGGACAAGAACATTGCCAACTTTCCAGGACATCAACTTCCTACAGCAAGTTCTGCAGTGTTTGTGCACCCTCCCGGGGGCCTGGAAACCACTGGGAGCAGGCGACACTGAACCTGCGGCACTGGCGGGCTTTCGATGATTGTCTCATGGTTTCCGGGTTGATCTCAGTTGACCATTGAACTACTGAACTTATGGTAAAATACATTGAATTTTCGATGGTTAACCAACATTTTATGCGACATAGATTTGTTGATGGATAAATTGAGGGCCTAGGTACTTTGTTCACTTGTACACTGTCCAGTGGGTGACATGAGATCCTCAGCTCCAATTCAACTAGCCGTGGAAAGAACACAACTTGCTGGATGTGAAATGCTGAATTCTTGCATCACAAGTGATTCATATGGTAAACGATAAATCAAGTGGTATAAACATGTATAAACCACCTCCAAGTGGTAGGTTTTATATAGGCTTGCCCACTATATGAGGCTCTGAAATCCAGGTGCTCCAAATTTCTTGGCTCGGCGATCGACTGAGTCACGGGTGTCGCGGCTTCAATGCGGGTCTCCCCCACAATGGCATTTTTTGTCATGGGAAAACTGATGTTTAATTTCAAGGGGATTTATAGCTACTGTATATTCAAACAAAGAAACTTTCGGAAAAACGCAAAAATACAAGAAGATTCCATTCATGGTTTTACCCATCATTTACCCATATATTCCACTGATTCAATCATAGTCCAATCATCCATGATTCGTGGTAAACACCCATAAAGTTCAACCGGTTTCTACCGGATTTCGGTTCAACCATTGACAGCAATTTTCGGCCTAGGTTGTCCCCAGCGAGGCGGACCGTCATAGAGAAGCCTGGCAGAGGAAACTCCAGTTTTTTTTTTGTGATGATCATCCACAACTCACCCCAAAAAAAACATAAATCACTGGGTTTTTCTTGGTAAATCATGATCATGAATCATGATGAATCATGATTTCATTCCAAATCCTGAACCATGACTTCGAACATCAATGATGCCAGTGAGGAAGTGGTTGGTGCTTTCAATAGCTGGATGTTGGTGCTTGAGCCACCATCCTAATAGCATCGCTAGAAACCTCTATTTTGTTCGGGGATTTCCAAGCCACGTTACCCCTGTCGTCTGGGTATCATATTCACTGGTTGAGGACAGGATTCTCCCCCTCTTCATTTTAGCATATTCTAAACAGGTGTTAACCATATACCCTCTGGTAATTTAACATAACTATGGAAAATCACCATTTTTAATGGGAAAATCCACTATAAATGGTCATTTTCAATAGCTGCGTTAAATTACCAGAGGGTAATATTCTAATCATATTGTATATAAACAACATATTCTAACCGCTGGTATGAAGCATATATTCGTGTGAGTTCATCCCCAAGTCACCTTAGTTAGAATCAACAGGGGTTTAGCTTATCGGAGCCGGACCTTGGAACCTTGGACGTCACTTGAGGGAAGTTGAACCCTTTGTCAAAAAAAACTCTCCTTGCTCCGGGGGAGGAATCTAATATTATATAATATTAATTATAATATTAATTATTAATAATATCATGTATAATTCTATATATAATTCTATATATTAGAATCATATATAATTATATAATAACCATATATAACCCAACCTTTCATAGGGATGGAGAGGAGAATCTTTTTTTTGTCGACAGACAACCGTTGTCGCCCTCCAGGGTTGACTGCCGCCCAGGGGATCACTGGCCCTTTTTGGAGCTGCAAGCGCCACCACTTCACCGCAACATACTCACCGGCTCGCCGCGCGCGCTGCGTTCAACACCGGTGTTTTCCGATTTCTCAGCCCTAGAGCCATATAGGATTCACAGCCAGAGATCCCAGAAGAAAAAAACACAACATTTGGGTATGTCGACATGAAACTCAACAATTCAAGGAAAAATATACAGGAAACCATAGTGTTTACCCTTCGATACAGCGGTTTCCTGTAGATTTCCCCACCAATTCTTCGAACTTTTGTTTTCAGCTGTTGGATCAGTTGGCTGCCAAAGTTAGCGAGTCTCACGCTCTGCCGGACACTGCTAGCGATCGGGACAGAAAAATGACAGTCATATGGTCTGAAAAAGGCAGCAAGCAGATCTAGAAGGCGGTGTTGCCCATTAATGTTTGTTGATTTTGTTTCACCCATCTAACTCTAGATAGATGTATCTACAATAAATAAGCATGTAGTCAACCTACTTAACTCTTCACCATCATCTAGTTGTATATCTCCTGTAAAGATCATAAAGCCAATGGTTAACCGACCGAACCTACCGACTTAGCTACTGTATCTTCACCCAACGTGTGAGGAAAAAACAATGGGGGTCATGATCCCAAGTACATGTTTTGCTAGCTGAGTCAAATAAAACACATGACCAGTTCGTTTCCCCATATTTCGCCAATCACATTTTCTTGGAAAAAAGACCGGCATTGTAGTATTGATGTTTCAACCAATCAGTTGACCCAGTAAACTGGCACATCCCTTTTACCACAGTGTTCCCGGCTCGGGCGTAGCACGAGCTCATGCCAGCTAGACGCCTGGTCCCCAAGGGAGGAATCACAAGGGAAATTTATCAGCCCCTGACGTGGTCTCAACCATGGAGCCCCCGAACACTATAAAACCAGCTAGTTGAATGGGCCATATCTGTACTTGTGATTTCAAAACAAAACAAGTTAGGAATGGAATCAGTTTGAAGGACCAAATGATACTAGTCATATGCTTCTTATGCTTAGCTCAATGGGTAATAAGTTGCTATGGGGTAGGCCCCCTAAGGCATGCTTAGAGGCATGCTGTGGGGTCAGCCTCACATTTGAGCAATTTTCCAGGCATATCCAAGCTAGCAGTTCCGAGAATCACTATCGCTGGTAAGTCCCCTAGGATTATCCTGTCCATTGTATATACATACATTAGATATGTATATCATAATCGTGTTATACACACAAATGGGCTATAATTATGGTCAACAAGCACTGATCCTATCTGGGCCGTCCCATCGTTCCATCAGCCCTAATCAATGGTCAAAGCCCAGCCGCCCTCGAATGCTGCTATCTCCATTCTTCATTCCATGGCCAATGATGGTTATGCTCTGGTAAATTTTCACATAGACCTATCAATGATGGTGAATGATGCTTCATGACGCGGAAAATTCCCCATGGATCTCAGCCATTCTCAGCCTTGATCGCCTCAACAAGACTCCAAGAAGACGGTGCCCTGGTTGCTGGCCAGCGAGATCCTCGGTGGCTAGCGGCTAGTAGAATGATCCTTCTGTTGATCCATTTACCCATAGGATCCATGTATGCCATATATGGTAACATTTACCATCAATATACCCCAAATGTTAGCATATATACCATACATGGATCCTATGGGTTATGGATGTAGCCCTCGAAATTCCAAACACTCTCTGAGAAGTTTTGTTTTTTTTTAACGAAATCATCTCCTTAAGTCGTAGTTCCTCTCAGAAGCTACGGCTGGATCTAGCTGGATCCATAGGGTAATAGATATCATAATAGATCAGTTTTATGGATAAAATTTTTGTGGCTCCGTGTATGGATTTGAATATTTCATCGCTGATAGCGATGAGCGCCATCCGGGAGCTGCCGGAGATTTAACCTGCTTCCCCCAAGGGATGTTTGAACGATGGGGAAGTTACCAAAACATGAAGTTTTTTCACATCATGTAACCATTCTGAAATGGGGATATCTGACCAGCCCACAGAAAAAAAATCAGTCATGCCTAAGTGTTTCGATCCCACTTCATGAATAGATCCAAGACTCAAACAAATTTAATAGTTGGGTGTTTGTTATATAATGATTGGCGGAAGTACAATTTCCAAACGAGAAGCAAACAAATTCTGTGACCATGTTCCACCAACCATTATCTTCAACTACGATCACTTACCCACACTAAGGGACTTTACAAACACAAAAGTAAACCATAGTAAACCAGTATTTGGGGGAAGGGGAGGGTTTCCACTATTCAATCATCATCTATTGTGATGTCATGTCGTGATGTCATGTCAAATTACCCAGGTATCAAACTATACCAATCCTGTCCCTGAATGGCTTCTAGCCGGCTCCATTCGATCCGATGGAAAAGTGGAACATCCTCAATTTTTTGCATGGCCCATAGGATCCATGTATGGTATATATGCTAACATTTGGGGTATATTGATGGTAAATGTTACCATATATGGCATACATGGATCCTATGGGTGGTGTCAATGATGTGGGCTCCGGAATTTCGAGAAAAATCGATTCTTCGGTGCTTTCTCTTAACAACCGTCATGTGTACATTTGTGGATCAGTGACGTCGTCAAAAACTTCGCGCAAGCCATTTCATGGCTGGTCCTAGTTACCATGCAACCAATTTTTTCCGGTTAGTTGTCATTCACCACCAGTAACGCACCCGCACATATATGTTGATTCCAAAAAAATGCAATGTCTGATGATCCATCTCAAATAGCATTAAATCATCTCAACCCACCAGTTTTGATGGCCAAAAAACTCCAAAACCCACCGATTTTCCATCTCAAAATCCTCCAATTTTTCCAGGTGTTCGTCAAGACATCGCCAAGGCGCCAGCCCACCGCGCCGTCCAACTTGGCTTTGCCCTTGATGCGCCGCACATCCGCAGTGGCGTCCTATGTGAAAAATGAACGTGTCAATGGGATTTCAATGGGATTTTATGAAGAAATATCATGGAAAATGACAGGGAACACTGAACTAACTAATGTTTTTTTTGAATATGTTTTTAGTGACCTCTGACCTTTAATGACCTAAAATCATCCAAGTAGAATGTTAGAAGAAACTACTTGATGGCACTGGTGGTTGATGTTCAACCATTTTATCGGGAACCCTCTGGTAATCAAACATGGCTAGCTGCGAAATGCTGCGAGATCCCCTGTACATTGGGATGTTCATAGGAACTTCATCTACAAATATCTATTGATGATTGATTTTCAAGCCAACCATGTTTGATTACCGGAAGCATAGGGATTTGGAACCAACCACAAGGGGGGTATATATATATATAATTTATATATGTATATATAATGGGATATGTATGGTGCATTGTGGTGCATATGTGTATATATATATATGTAAATAGATAGCGTGATATATTCATTAAGCTCCATTCATATGACCAAATGGTCAACTTAATACGCACACTTCTGATTGAGCAATGGATGGAACGGGGTACTCCATTTTGCAGACAAAGCGAAACGATACGGATAAATCATGATAAATCATTCAGAAGGTAGGACACAGTATGGACGTGTTGTTTTTTCTTTTTTACATCTAGAGATAGAGCAGATACTGGGTCAACTATATACCAAATATGGATAAATCATTGATCACTTTTAAACCATATTGAATCATGAGACATGATCTATAAATGGGAACAAACACATGGAAAATAGTATTCAATCAAATGACCTCAAACTAAATCATACAGGTGTGAATGAGTCAACAGTCCCAACAGAGTGGTACCCTCCGTTTTTAAGTTGGTTCACAATCACCATGAACTACACAGATATAGCCCCAATAAAGACCCTATAGTGAAATTGGACTTATTTGCACCAATTTATCAATCACCATCTGTTTGTTTTCTAAATCACCTTATATCTCCATTTTCCCATTGTTTTTCATGGTTTTTCACGGGGAAAACCACCTTGGGGAACCCACTATGAGTGCACCATATTGCACCCCAAAATTGCTGGTCATTCCGATCTGAAACCATTCACTTGGGGGTTATAATCATTTTCACCCATACCCAAATATCCCACAAAGAACGAGATTTGTTCTTCTTTCCAATGATGGGATCAGGGTTTGACCGAAAATACGTTATATACACCAAG